CTGAAAGGATATACCAAGTGAGTGTGTAATGGGCAATTTGATTCCACTGTGGAACTGTCCCACTGTACTCTTCCCATGGGTTCTCTGTGAGTGCCTGTGTGGAAGGGGGGCTACCACTGCCAATTCATGTGTTATGTACAAGTACAACACTTATTTCTATTGAATGTATTATTGGTAATATATTTTCCATACTTCATTGGATCATATTTCGTAGATTCTTATCACCCCACTTTGGGAATTTTACTTTCTGAGGACAGGGACTATGTAAAATTCATCCTTGCCTTCCTAGCCCTCAGGAGAAGGCCTGGCACCTGTTAGGTTCTTGGTAATTTGTTGAATGAGAGCCTGAGGAGAATAACCAGAAAACCAACTCCCCTGCCGTCGAGTCCATTTCGACTCATAAAAACCCTGTAGGACAGAGTAGAGCTGTCCCACAGGGTTTCCAAGGCCGTCAATCGTTACAGAAGTAGACTGCCACGTCTTTCTCACACCGAGTGGCTGGTGAGTTCCAACAACCGACCTCTCGGTTAGCTGAGCACTTTAACCACTGTGTCACCAGGGCTCCTTGAGAAATATTTGGATGGATATAAAGATAATCTCATATTGAGAAGATAAGTGTTAACGGGTTATTGAGAAATGCAGGATGGCATTATTTAAGGGGAAAAAGATGGTAATACCATGCAGGTAATACCAATATGGGAGCAAATAAAAGGTGGGAAGATAAATTTGTAGACCATCACATTAACCTGTGTATCAAGTGATAGACGATCACTGAAATTTTGGCAAAAGGAATGAAGAGAAAGGGTACAAAAAAGTATTGTTACAACTTGGTGTTTGACTAATTGTGAAAAGGGACTGTGTATTTCTATATGTACTCCTTTAAAGGATTTTTTAGTATCTTGCTGTAATCAGAAATATTTTAGTATATAGAACAGTATTTTTTTAAAATGTCATTCTTACAGTTTCAGAAGTGGATTAGGTGTGCACTTTTTTTGTATGCCTTTCACATGTCACAGTGATCATAGGAGGGACAAAACTTCAATTTAATGTACATATATATGTGGATTCTTTTTTAAAAAGTACTGAAAGTTATTCCTTATATCTGGGTTAAATTTTTTCAAGTATGGTTTGTAAATTGACTTTTGAACCCTTCTTTCCCCAGAAGACAGATGCATACTACTAATATCTTTAATTGTATAGCTTTGTTGTATTGGGGAATGCTGCTTTTTTTTTTTTGGAGGTGGGTTTCCAATGAATGTTGATTACTATAGCTGCTGTGATGACAACAAACTGTTCCTTTGAGACACATGCATCAGTCTTTTAATGCTAAATATTTTAACCCTTTGGTCTTTTTGTGTTCTACAGCTTGTAACTATTAGATTTAGCAGAACATTTCCTTGTATGATGGTAACATTGCTTCGTTTCAGTCACTCAGTAAACTAGCATGGTACTTAAAAGGGTCAAATTTTTATACATTTGCTAACTTTTTTTTTTAAGTGATTTTCTAGGAAAATAGAGTCTATGTAATATAGATGTGTTTATGTGGGCAGGAATGCATGTGAGGGGCAGTGTTGTGGCTAAAATCTCAATTTTCGTCAAAGTGCTTTGACTTGAATGCAGAAGATCTCAGTTCTTCCCTTGCATTTTTTAGTATTCATCACCTGCTTTAAAAATTTTACTTTTTCTCGATAGAAGAATCGGAAAAGGAAATCTGGAATATATCCCATGAAAATTAACATGCAAATTCTAATGTGTTTAACAATCAGTTTACCTATATTGAGTAGATTATCCAACTGGTAAATGGATTCTTACCTAAGTTTGTTCCCTCCCCCCCCCACCCCCGAATTGCTTATTTCAGTACTTTGTAGCATGTCTTGGTACTAAGAAGAGGTGTGCAAAAAAGAAGATAAACATGAATAAAGAATGAATAGAACCTGGTGAAATAAAGATGCCCAAACTAAGATAGAAGGAAGTGTTGTAGTATGCAATCAACTCTCAGTTATAGAATCCTAGAACTAGAAATAATAAGACTAATGGGGCAGACCTGGATAAGCAGATCATAATTTAAATGTTTAATAATATTTATTTAGACCTCGGAACTCAAGTTATTAATATAGTATCTATTTAGAATTGGAAATTACTTCAGGATATTAAAAGTCTTCCTAATTACATTTTTTTACTTAAAGTGCCACCAAATTTTAGATTATTGCCAAGATGAAAGGCTTTTTTGGAGAAGATGTGAGGTTTGATGAAAGACGTAATGGTCTGTAGAATGAGATTCTTAATTTGAGCTATCTAAATATTCTGTTCTGGAAGTATTACTATAAATATATTAGCCTTGTTATTATTGGAATAAGGACACACAAATTGAAATTCTGTGCCCTTGGGCAAAAATGATAGGGCTGCTTTATCCGTTAGCAAATTAAAATTTTGTGTTAAAGTAAAGGGGAGAGACATTTAGAAAAACTACTGTGGAATAGGGGCCCTGGTGGCGCATTAGTTAAGAGCTACAGCTGCAAACCAAAAGGTTGGCAGTTCAAGTCCACCAGCTGCTGCTTGGAAACCCTATGGGGGTTCTACTGTGTCCTATAGGATCACTATGAATTGGAATCGACTGGAGGCAACGAGTTTAGACACATTGGGATTTTTTATGTTTGCCACTGATGAGTTGTATGATTTTGGTCAAATCATGTAACCTTAATGGGTGTCAACTGGGCTGTTGTTAAAGATTGAACGCAGTCATATTCTGTATAGTGATGTCTTGTAATCAGTGGTATAATTTATATGGTGAGAAAAATGATAGTGTAGGATAAAATATTACCCCCAAGTCATCTCAAATATCTTTTTTACATTTACAAGAGTAGGGTGATATTTGACTGCACTGGGCTTCAATTTTTTTCTCGTCTAGGGTATACAGGTAGTCTGACTTAGGACGTATTCAGGTTACAGATGAACTGCACTTAACGACCACCTATTTTTTTAAATTTCATTTACATCTTATCTTTGTAATAATGTACTACATACAGTGTTGCAGCGTGTAATTTGCTGATGGTATTCTCAGATGTACACTTGCAGATGTTCAATGTTATGATTTACTGTTCAAAACACTGCCTATGGCAGGCTATGCAAACTCCAAAAGAAAAAAAAAAAGAGGTACTCAACTTATGTTAGAACACACTTATGTCAGAGTCAGCAGATCGGAACTCTGTCATAAGTCAAGGACTACCTGTATTCAAATGGAAACACTAGGGACTAGAGAAATGAGCAATAATAGCAAGATAAACCAGGCATGCATCAGCAAATGGGAGTAATACCCTGAACGACTGAGTCAGTTATGTTGTTTCAAAATAATTGTATAGTCATATTTTCAGATTCTAGTCAGTATTTGAAAAGTTACTGAAATGGGTGATTTGCACTCATTGCTGTAAGATGTTTATAGAATGAGCCTAACAAAATGACCCATTACTGAATAAACTCGGTTTTCTTAGCGGATTAAATTAGGTCAGTGAGAATATTTTACTTTCTTTCCAATTATACAAATTTCTTTAGCTATTTGAAATATCACATGACAATAAGAATAGAGTTGGAAAATATGCCTAAGCATAAGTTTATATGGAAATTGTATGATATATATAATGTATGTAATATATAGTAATAATTTGTAATAAAAATTTAATGATTAGTAATAATTTGTAATAAAAATTTAATGATTTATAACAATTTGTATATTCCCTTATTTGATAATTTGTAAAGTAGAGTCACCTTGGTTTTTAAGAACTGCGTGAAATGTTAACTGCTAAATGTGTCTTTTAAATAATTTCTTTAAAAATTTGTAGTGCAAATTGGGAAAGATAGAATTGTGTATAGAAAGCACTCCACAACATGCATCACCTCACAAAACTTAGTTATTGATTTAATGTAGCTAAAATTGTCAAAATTTAATCATAAGGATCAAAGATTTTGTCATACCCCATAGTACCTCTATTTGAAAATATATAGTTAATTTGTAATACAAGTAGTCCCCGAGTTACAATGAACCACACTTAAGATCATCCTTTTTTTTTTTTTTTGTACATTTTATCGTTAGTAACCTGTATACATACATTGTTGCTGCGTGTAATTTGCTGATGTTACCATTCTCATGCCAACCCTTAAAGACAAAGATCGGATTTATAAAGATACTGATAGTAGGAGGTGATAATAATTAAAACAAAAAAAACGAAATATTCGACTTCAGAACCAGCTTAACGGAGTCGTAAGAACGAAACCCCTTAGTGAGAAAGAGAAGTTGGTATTCAGAATTGATGTAGTATACGTATGGCCAGGATATAGGAAAGAATTTCCATTTAATTTTGTAGCAGAGAAGCTATTTTAAGTGTACTTTGTATTAAATGTACATGAGCTAAGAGAATTTTTCTGTAACAAGTACTGTTTTAATATATCTATTTTAAAACATTTAAAAATTTTACAATGTTAGTATCATTTCTTTTTATTGTATTTATTTGGCTTAGGATATTTTTTGTTTTGCCCTCGAAGGATTTTAGTTTCTTTATTACAGAGTTTCTTCTATATTTTAATAGGCAGGCTAAAAATGGTAAATGTCTATATTGTTGGTTTACTCTATTAAAGACTTGATTTTTGTTTTATCACTATTGAGAGTAAAATCAAAGTAGTAAAAATTGTTTTTCATCTATCTTTTTTTCTCTAGACATTCTTTGCCCGTAGGAAATAGATTCACTCATTGCTCTCAGGCTGGGGATATTCTTTTCATAATTTGAAAAAAAAAGCAAAGCTGGGGTGCTAAGGTGACATCTTACATGGAAGAAGGATGTGAGCATAATGTTACTAAAACTAACGAATCAATCAAGTTTGGGGTCTTCTAAGCTTGCCATTGGATAATATTCTTCAAATAGTTCTTGCACATTGTAGAAATTAAAGCACACATTTTTGAGAAGTCTTTTAAAAATTGTTTGAAAAGCCTAATTTTTGTTACTTTGCAGATGTTCCATTTAAGCAGACCTCTTTCATAGCTGTAGCTGGTGCTGTAATTGGAGCTGTTCTTGCCCTTTTCATCATTGCTGTCTTTGTGACTGTGCTGCTGACTCCTCGAAAAAAGAGACCCTCTCTTGACAAAGTGTAGGTAACTTTTTTTTGCCTGTGTTCAACTATGAATATTCAGTATGCATCAGTCTTTATGTCTTCCTTTCCATCTCATGTAAAAGTGTTTGAGGGGTGGAAGTAAAAGTTATGTTAGACCTTTATCAGATGACCATGGTTTCATAAGAACCTCCCAAGATACATCTTAGGGAAAACAGTGTCAGAGGGCTGCTAGAGACAGATAAATTGAACGCTTTTTCACCTACAGCATATTAGACATTTTTCCATATGGCACCATGATGACATGTTGTCCTGCCTTCCGAATTCAGGCCTTTGATGAAATAGGAGTTGCAAGACAGATATAAAAATATCTTAAAAGTTTAATTGCTTCTTCAGTTTATATATACCTGTTTTACATATAGATACAACTTAACTTTTAACTGCCAAGAGTTATTAAATGCATTGAGTTTTAAAGCTTGTTCCTTAAAGATGAAAAATACTTGATTTTGGTGAATTATAAAATGTGCATCTTTTCACATAAAGAAAAAAACAATGTTTTTGACCAAATCATTGAGATAGAAGTATAAAGTAGAAATTGAATCTTGATGTACAATCAAAAGACCTACGTTCCAAGTCACTTAATTCCATCAACAGCTTTTTTGCTTCATCTGTGAAATGTGAATATTACTTTTCGTACTTGGTTGTGATGAGGATCGAATAAGATAATGCCATTTTATGAACTGTGAAGTTCTATACAAATGACTTTATTTGTAGCATAGTTTATTAATGCTTTTGTATTAGGACATAAGAGAATGTCTTCCTTCTGTCTTCATAAGTGCTCTGTGTATGTGTCTGCCTTTCTGTCCTGGCATAGTTATAACACTGGTCTTTTAGGTGTTAGTCTCAGCTCTATCACCATGGAATTAGTGGTACCATGAACCAGCCACTTCACCTCCATGAGCCTCTTTTTTCTCACCTAAATGACCTGTGGCATTTTGGAGATATAAATTTCGTTTGATTTTCATTAAATTAAAGGAAATAATTACTTTAAATAAAAAGACTGTAAAATACTCTTTCAGTGCAATACTTGTGAAACTAGAGTTCTTTAATATTTCAAGAGTAACCGACGTGATTAACTTCATCTTAGTTGACGCATTATCTCGTGCTTTTCTGTAATTTCAAAAACATCATTTACTAGTCAGCTAATACATTTGTGTAACCATTTTGTTTATTGTTTGATATTCTATTCATTTGAAATATTACTTATGCCCATATTCAGAAGTTACTAGATTACAGAGAATTTGTAATTACTTAAGCCTCTATAGCTTTCATTCTCTGTATCCTTTAATATAGGTATTTTTTTTAATTAACTAAGCACAAGTAGTTAAAAATTTCAATTTCCAGTAAACATTGAAACCTTTAAAAACAATTTACTTTTTTCAGTCTATGAAAGATTAATGGAAATAATAAAAGACAAACATGTTGGTTAGTTAATATAAATATTAGTTATGAGGAAAATATTCTCAAAACTTTAAGAGAAGCTTGATTTCCCCACCACCTCCCGTTGTTTGCTAAATGTGGCAATCACAATTTTTAACCTTTTTAATGCAGGATTGACCTTCCACCCACACATAAACCACCTCCTGTGTATGAAGGAAGATCCCCCCCTAAGCCTCAAAAAGACCTTCTGGAACAGGTATGTGTTCATAAGTACACTTATAATAATATAAAATACAATAAAAAACTAAGTCCTTTATACTATTTGTTTCAGAATTTCTCATCATACATTAAATATTGCATAATAATACATAATTCTTAACTTGCTCAATCATTTCTCTGAAATGTTCTTAGGATCAAATTTTGTCTACTAACAAGTAAGAAAAGCAGTTAGGGCCAGGATAGCTAAGACAAATTAACACTGTTTGGAATACAAATCTTTATTAAAAACTATAGCTGGACACTATTGTTAATATAGTTTTGTTGATATATGGATTTGTTGGAAAATATGCGTTTTCATATAAAATATGATGAAGAGCTGCTTCTCCTTGGAGTACTGTATTTTGTATTTGTTTCTTTTCCATTATATTCAAGGTCAAAAGTTTAGCATTCCTTTATTTAGCAACAAAAAGGATATATTCCAATTTAAAATTCTAAGTGTGAATATTGGTCCCCATATTTGTGATAAATATTTATGATAACTTTAAATTTTTGTTTTGGTATCAGTTTGCAGTAATTCATGTAAAAATGATTCAGCATTTTTATCTTGGGTTCTGTACCTGGATTAATATGCTGTACTTGAAATCTGGTAAAATTTAAGCCACCAGATTATTTGACTTCTTTTATTCTTAGCTTTAATGTTTTTGTTTTCTCTGTTGCCCATGCATCTATTGGGACTCTCATCCTATACTGGAGTTTTGTTACCTCTAGGAATAGTTGATAATATTTTTCTCTTGTATTCAGCTTGAATAAGGTAAATCATTAATTAAGTGGAAAAACTCCAAAGGAATGTTTCTCTCAGATGTTCTCAGCTTCCATTCTTTAGGTGACTGAATAGTCAATCTACTGTAAGAAATGAGGTGAGGGAAAGGGGATGGTTCCTGGCAGGCTCTCAGCACTTTGTCATCTTATACGAGCCACATGTCTTGGAGGTCGGAACATGCCATCTTTTCAGACCTCTTGTTCTTACATAAACAGAGTATAGCCTCGTATCTCTTTTGGCAAATAAATGAACTTGACAAGTAGTGTGAAATGTCAACAAAATACTTAGCTAGAGCTGTTGTTAACTTCTGCAGAAGGATAGCTGTCTTCCTCCCTCAGCAAAACTAGTACTTAATCCAAAAAGCTAGTAATTAACTACAGTGAGGGTACTTGCAAATAGTTTATTGTACACATTGTATACATGTATTTATAAAATATGTGCCAAGAAATATAATTACTGTGAACACTTTTTAGATAGGTGTCATATTGCTGACTATCTTAGGCTGGGTTCTGTAGAGAAGCAAAACCAATAAAGCATATAAATATATATACAGATTTATATCCAGGAAATGGCTCACATGGTTGTAGAGGCTGGAACGTCCCAAGTCCATGGGTCAGGCTGGAGGCTTCTCCTGACTCACGTAGCCGCAGGGGCTGGTGAACCCAAGATCAGCAGGTCAGACAGCAGGGCTCTGGCTCACAGGCTGTGAATACTGACAGATCCCAAGATCAGCAGGCAAGATGGCAGGTAAGCTGCTAGCTCAAGTCCCAAGAACCAAAGGTCAGCGGAACAGGAGCCAGCTGTAGGATCCAGAGTGAGCAAAAGGCCGTGAGCCTTGCCAGAAAGTACACCTATATTGGATGAAGCCTCCCCGCCCCCCTGCCCCGGCAAGAAACTCCCTTTACACTGATTGGCTACTCACAGCAGATCCCATCATGAAAGTGATCACATCATTATAGGACTGCCAAACTACATCATAACTGCCAAACCACTCAGAATCATGGCCCAGCCAATTTAACACACAACCTTAGCTATCACACTGACTAAAGTAGCTGTATTGATTTATATTCCCATAATAGCATATTGAAACCTTGTTCCCTCACCAAGAGTGTCTTATACAAAGCTTAAGGTTTTATATAATCAGAATCTGTCTTTTCCCTTGTACTTTCTGGAAGTTGTATATTGCCTAGATTTAGTTTTGGGAATTTTTTTAGAACATTATTGGTGATTTTCTAGGACAACCCTAATTGCATATAATTTTATTCTTGTCGGTAAAATCAATAGGTTATATAACTTATTTAATATTTTCTAATTTAATATTTATAAAAGCTTCTGAACTAGAAAATTATTTGGCTCTATTCATGTGTCCTAGGTTTTAGTTAAGAAAATATGATTGCTACGTATGTAGTGCTGCTAAATAAACACAAAACGAAGATTTTTCTTGGATAATTTGAGTTGACAGTTGTACAGACTACAATTTTTAATATCCTTGAAGTCAAAGAAAGCTTCCTGGGCAAACTGTTTTGAAAGTTGGAGTTTTGAAGCAGGTGATAAAATTACTCCATTGTTGATTAGAATCATTTGAGTTGTGGTAAGTTGCTTAACAAATAGCATGAACATGTGTGGAAATAAAGAGTTATATGGAAACATAATGGAAGGTATTTGAGAAAGAAAATTGATGGGAGAGTGCTTGCAATGGGTAACAAACATGGGGCTTTGGGAGTCAGAGACCATTTAGTAGCATTGTGACTTTTTCCTCAACTGTAAAATTAAGTAGTTGAAAAAACATGAATGTTTGTTTCTCTTCTAGTTATAAAACTTTGATTCTATAAAATTCTCAGTGTCAGTTAACCAGTTACTATTGAGCTGAAACTGACTCATGGCAACCCCTTGTAGAACTGTGAAGTAGAACTGTGCTCCATAGGGTGTTCTTTCTTTCTTTTTTTTCCTGCTGCAAAAGACCTTTTTATTTTTTTTATTTTATTGTACTTTAGATGAAGGTTTACAGAACAAATACTTTCTCATTAAACAGTACACATATTATTTTATGACAATGGTTAACAACCCCATGACATCTGAACACTGTCCTTCTCAACCTTGGGTTCCCTATTACCAGCTTTCCTGTCCCCTCCTGCCTTCTAGTCCTCGTCCCTGGACTGCTGTGCCTCATTAGTCCCATTTTGTTTTACGGGGCTCTCCAGTGCCCGGCTGAATGGTGAACCTCGGGAGTGACTTCACCACTGAGCTAAAAGAGTGTCCGGGGGCCATACTCTCGGGGTTTCTCCAGTCTTTGTCAGGCCAGTAAGTCTGGTCTTTTTTTGTGAATTACAGTTTTGTTCTACATTTTTCTCCAGTGCTGTCTGGGACCCTCTGTTGTGATCCCTGTCAGAGCAGTCAGTGGTGGTAGCTGAGCACCATCTAGTAGTACTGGACTCAGTCTGGTGGAGGCTGTGGTAGTTGTGGTCCATTAGTCCTTTGGACTAATCTTTCCCTTGTATCTTGTTTTCTTTATTCTCCCTTGCTCCGGAAGAGGTGAGACCAGTAGAGTATCTTAGATGGCTGCTCACAGGCTTTTAAGACCCCAGATGCCACTTACCAAGGTAGAATGTAGAATATTTTCTCTACAAACTGTGTTATGCCAGTTGAGCTAGATGTTCCCTGAGACCATGGTCCCTACAAAACTCAGCCAGCAATTCAGTCCCTCAGAGAGTTTGGATGTGTCTTTGGAGTTTCTATGACCTTTCCTTGTTCGAGTTGTGCTGGCTTCCCCAGTATTGGGGAAGTTATCACTTATCTATTGTCTATTTAGTATTCCTCCCCACCCCTCCCATCCCTCGTAACCAACAAAGATTCTTATTCTGTGTAAACTTTTTCATGAGTTTTTACAGTAGAAGTCTCATACAATATTTGTCCTTTCATGATTGACTTACTTCACTCAGCATGTCCTCCAGTTTCATCCATGTTATGAGATGCTTCACAGATTCTCATTGCATAATAATACATTGTGTGTATGTACCATAGTTCGTTTATCCATTCATCTGTTGATGGGCATCTAGGTTGTTTCCATCGTTTTGCTATTGTGAACAATGCTGCAACGAACATGGCTGTGCATATGTCTATTCCTTATTTCTCTAGGATATGTTCCTAGGAGTGGGATTGCTGGATCATATGGTATTTCTATTTCTAGCTTTCCAGCAGTGCATAAGACTTCCAATCTCCCTGCAGAGCCTCTGCAACATTTGTTATTTCCAGTGTTTTTGATTCGTGCCAGTAATGCTGGGGTGAGATGCTATCTCATCTTTGGTGAAGTGTCTGTTCATTTCCTTTGCCCATTTCTTAATTGGATTATTTGCCTTTCTGTTGTAGAGGTGTTGGATTTCCTTGTAGATTTTCTATATTAGACCTTTGTCTGACTTGTAAGGCCCAAAAAATTTTTCCCAGTCTGTAGGTTCTCTTTTTACTCTTTTGGTGAAGTCTTTTGATGAGCATAAGTGTTTAATTTTTAGAAGATCCCAGTTATCTAGCTTGTCTTCTGGAGTTTGTCTGTTGTTGGTTATGGTTTGTATCCTGTTAAGGCCGTGTATTAAGGCCTCAAGCGTGGATCCTATTTTTTCTCCTATGAACTTTATAGTTTTTGGTTTTATATTTAGGTCTTTGATCCATTTGGAATTAGTTTTTGTATATGGTGTGAGGTATGGGTCCTGTTTCATTTTTTTTGCAGACGGACTTCCAGTTTTGCTAACACCATTTGTTAAAAAGACTGTTCCCCATTTGATGGACTTTGGGCCCTTGTCAAAGATCAGGTGACCATAGGTGGATGGATTTATATGTGGGTTCTCAGTTCTGTTCCATTGGTCAGTGTATCTGTTGTTATACCACCACCAGGCTGTTTTGACTACCATAGCTGTATATAGTAGTTTCTGAGGTCAGGTAGTGTAAGTCCTCCTACTTTATTCTTCTTCTTCAGTAGTGCTTTACTATCTGGGGATTTTTCCCTTTCCGTAAAAGTTAATGATTAGGTTTTTCCATCTCTTTAAAGAATGTTGTTGGTATTTGGATCGAGATTGCATTGTAATTTTAAATTGCCTTAGGTAGAATTGTTGTTTTCACAATGGTGAGTCTACCTATCCATGAGCATGGTATGTTTTTCCATTTATGTAGATCACTTTGGTTTTCTTGCAGTAGTGGTTTGTAGTTTTCTTCTATAGGTTTTTTAC